CAGAAGCTATCTCCAACTGATAGCCACTTGCAAATGAAACTTTAGTTTTTTCCAAGAGAGTCTAGCTGGGGGAACAAACTTCTCATAAGGGTGGGCTGCATGTCCAGCAGTAGATGGCCAACAGCAAATGACCTCAATGGCATCTTGGAAGTTCCTTGTCCCATAATGTCATGTTGGGCTTTTTTTTTTTTTTTTTGTCTTCTTTAAAAATTATTTTTGTTTCTCTTTTATTTTCCCCACAGGTCCTTTGTGTACTTATTCTGGTTGCTGGTTTTATGCTTTTATGGGATTCCCGAGTGTGAGAATGACGGGTTTCTGGTTCTATATGTGTTTCTTGCACCTTTGCTGGGCTCTTTTCCTTCTTGTCTTGTCTTGTCCTATTCTGATGTGCTTGCTTTTGTCTTATCTTGTCTTATTTATTTTTATCCTTTAGAGGCCCATGTGTTTTCTAATGAGGGGCAGAAAGGGGGTGCATCTGAATGGAATGGGAGGTGGGGAGGAACCAGGAGAAGTAGAGGGAAGGGAACCATAATCAAGACACAATGTATGAAAAATAGATCTAATTTTTGATAAAAGAAAGAAAGAAACAAAGAAGGAAAATGATATGTGTAGCTGTAGTTTTTCAGCGGGAGGGCATTTATCTTGCTTGGTGTTCTCTGAGCTTCTAGAGTCTCTGGTTTGGAGATGCTCATTGTCGGAGGATCACCCTGCTCCTTTCTCTCTTCCCCATCCTTTTGCTTTTCCCATGAACACATTTAAATATCTTTTAATTATCCCACAGTTCTTGGCTACTTTGCTCTTTTTTCTTTTAGTCTCTTTTTCTTTGTTTCTCAGCTTTTCAAGTTTCTATGTCATAGTCTGGAGTGTAGGGCTCTCTTCCTCAGCAGGTGCAGGGTACTGTAAGCCATGGGCATCCTTCAATTCTGTTAGAATACTTCATGTCTTGCATTTGCTCTCTTGGCTTTTCCCTCAGAATGCCCATCTCTCTTTCCATTAAAACCTTCAGGATATTAATTATAATTTCAAGGTAGCTTCATAATTCCAACCTTTCTGCCACATCACTGGTTCTGATCCTGGTTCGGTTTCTTCAGCCAGCACACTTTGCCTTTAAGCCTGTGACAGAATTTCTGCTGCAGCTGGATGTGATGCACTTGGTAAAAGGAAGTCGGTGAATATTGTAAGGTCAAGTGTCATGGAGGCGTGTGCTCCACGCCCCGTGACCCTGATCTTAATGTTTTTGGTTGGTGGTATCCAACTGTGAGGGCTTTCCCCCCCTCATGGGGACAAAATGGCTGGAGAAGGCTAGCCCTGGACACCAATGTTCCTCCCCAAACAGCCTCTTCTGCTTTGTCAAGGGCAGAATGTTCTCCCTTCTATGTCTGCTGGAACCATAAGGAAATTTCCCCAACACTCGCTGTGAGACTCTAACATTGCTCTTGGAAGCAGACAGAGCTCACAGAAGTGGAGGAGCCCCCTGTGATGAGACCATCCTGGAAGGTAGACTCTCAGGGTACCCTCACCCAGCTTCCAGCAATTTCAAAGGTGTATTTGGAGTTTTCCTGTCTCAGCCCTGGGCCTTGGGGAGGATTCTGCTTGTGAGTTTCTGTCCCAGGAGGTTGAGATTCTGTTGTCTTGTCTGTCTCTTTAGTTTAAGCTTCCTAATGCTGCGACCCTTAATATAGTTCCTCATGTTGTGGTGACCCCCCAACCATAAAATTATTTTCTTTACTACTTCGTAATTATCATTTTGCTACCATTATGAATCATAATGTAAATATCTGTGTTTTCCGATGGTCATAGATGACCCCTGTGAAAGGTTGAGAATTTCTGGTTTAGCGGGTCGGCCTTGGCCCTCTAGTCTGATCTATCTTTTCTGATGGATCTAAAACTCATTAGCAGTTTTCAGATTTTAATCATTATTAGGATGGCATGGCCATTCTGAGCTTCTTACATGCTGGGTTGGGAACTGGAATGCTTCAGAAAGTACAGATACTTAAACCATGGAGCTAACATGGCTCAGGGGTTAAGAGAATAGGCTGCTCTTCCAGAGGTCCTGAGTTCAATTCCCAGCAACCACTTGGTGGCTCACAACCATCTATAGTGAGATCTGGTGCCCTCTTCTGGCCTGCAGGCATACATGCAAGCAAGCAGAACACTGTATACATAATAAATAGATAAATCTTAAAGAAAAAAAAAAGAGTACTTTATTTTGTATTTCATACAATGCTCATCTCGTGTGTTTCTATTGCCGTGGCTTGAATGAGTACATCTTTCAAAAATTGATATGTTGTAAACTAGTATCTATTAAATTGTTAAAAGCATCGACTTATAAATATCAATATAGAAAGTTCTCCAGGAGAGACTGTGAGTTAAAAAATAAAAGACTGGGATTGGAGAGATGACTCTATGTTTAAGAGGATTGATTGCTGTTCCATAGGCCCTGGGTTCAAGTCCCAGCACGCATGTGTTGGCTCACAGCCATCTGTAACTTCAGTAACAGGGGATCTGACACCCTTTTCTGGCTTCTGTGGATACCAGGCATACAAGTGATGCATCAACATGTATAGGAAGCATATAGGTCCTTGTGCTCACAGAACCAGGAATATTAAACACACAGGGTTGTTTCTTCAAAGGGGGAGATATATAACCTATTTCCACCCAGAAGTCTGGAAGTGCATGTGTTTAATATCCTGGTGACCTTGCCTTATCTGCCTGGCCATGCCACACTGGATCCTCCCCAAGACCCTTATCTTGAGTCTGTTTACTCAGTTAATACACAGAACCCATCTTTTTGGAAGATGTCACTTATACTTTACAAAGAGTTTTGATGTCATCATGTCTTAATCTTTGTTGTGGACATGGGATTGAGTTAATTATCACCAGGAAACTTTTTTTTTTCAAAAATTTCTGTGCTTAAATATACCTAAAATAAACTACTCAAGGTTAGACTCTTGAAGTTTGAACCCAACACCGCCTACTGGGTCACAATGAACTGAACTGCCATCTTGCCTCTTGTGGATTGACACTGCCAGCTGTGGTGTTTGCAGAGACCCCCCAAGACACACATGCGGGCGAAACACTCATACTCAAAACATAAAACAAAATAAAAGGCTGTGAACACACACACAAACCAAGAGGAAGACACCAGTTATCAGTGGAAGCGTTGGTGTTGGGAGGTGAGGAAAAGACCTCCTCATTTTCCTTCCTGTACTTCCCTTTTCTTAGAGCACCCATGTAATTCATAGAGATTCATTCCAACAGAAAATGCCAGAGTAAAAACCAGTATGGGTAGTTGCTGCAAGGTAATATACAAAGACTGGAACTTGTCAGGGAAACTCATGGCACAATGTCATGTTATCCATAGTGAGAATTACTGAAAAAACCAGATATAAACCATAGACACTTTGGCTATCATTTCTGGAGTTGAAATTAGGAATTAATTTTGGACTAGACTTTTATAGAAGGAAAAAGAAAAGATGGGCTGGCAGGATGGCTCAGCAGATAATAGCATCTGCTGCCAAGCCTGACAACCTGGGACCTGCATGAGCTTCCAAAAGTTGTCCTTTGACTGCTATACATGCTCTGTGGAACACTTGAGTGTGCATGTGCGCGCGCGCACACACACACACACACACACACACCACTATAAAAACAAAACCAAAGTAAATTTGTGTGGCTTTTTAAGACATGATCTCTATGTAGTTGTCTTACTTAGGGTTTATATTAGTGTGAGGAGACACCATGACCACAGCAACTCTTAAAAAGGAAAATATTTAATTGAGTGGCTTACAGTTTCAGAAGTTTAGTCCATTATCATTATGGTGGGACATGGTGGCATGCAGGCAGACATGGTACTGGAGAAGGAGCTGAGAGTTCTACATCTTGATCCACAGGCAACAGGAAGTGAACTGTTTCACTTGGCATAGCTTGAGCAAAGGAGACCTCAAAGCCCACCTACATAGTGACACACTTCCTCCAAGAAGGCCACACCTACTCCAACAAAGCCACACCTCCTAATAATGCCACTTCCTAGGGGCCCATTTTCTTTCAAACTACCACAGTAGTCCACGCTGACCACCAGCTTCCCGTATAGCCCAGGCTAGACTCCGACTCATGATTTTCCTGTTTCAGCCTTCCTCTGAGTGCTGGGATCACAGGCATGTTGTATAACACCTGCCTTGAGGTGTTTCAGACTTCACTAGTCATTAACACTCTTCAGTTTAGTGAAAACTCTCTTTAGCTTGGTATCCAGATGTATAGACGGATTTCTACAAAGACCCTGGGACCTTCTGAGAGAACAGAGCCTGAGCCTGTCACACATTTCCTTTCCTGCCTCCCTTGTATTGATGGAACAGCACAGACAGAAAGGGACCGAGGCTTCCAAGGGTGTTTATGCTGCAGTAGAGAAGGAATGAGCAGTCTAGGCTGTCAACCTAAGCCCCCTCAGAACCTGGAGCTTATTCTTACTTTACAGATTTGTGCACTGGGCCCCAGAGCTACACTTGTTAGGATGAACTAACAGGGCTGATGGTTTTGATAACAGAACTTCAGGAATCCATGAAGACCCAAAAGAACAGCATTCCAGTAATGGGCCTACATTCCCCAAAGATGCCATGTGGCAACACCTATGAACTGGTTAGACAGCTTATTCCTTGTACCTGGATTATTCTAGGCTGGCTAAGCTCCTTGATTCACTGACCAGGAGGAGGATCTATAGGGAAAGACATAAGGAAGGCAAAACTTTCTGATAACTAAGGCAAGTGTGGTCTCCAGCAATAGCTGCATCCCTAAAAACAACACAGGATAAATATGAACTTTAAAATGGCCACCCTGTGTTACCCCATGTAGACCTGTTGTGATCACTTCAGTTACACGAGGCATTGACGAAACATTAAGGGAGAGCTAAAGGAAGTGACCAAAGCGAAGAGGGAACTTGGGGCCAAGGAAGCAGGTTTGCAGGGGTGGGGTGGGATGAGCTGGTGTTGCAGGGGACTACTCACTGGGTTGATGTGTGTTCCAGTGTGTGTACATCACCGGCTCAGCCCTCTGGCCCACGGTCCTCCAAGTGTATTCTCCTGTATTGTTTTGGTCTTGAAGAGCTATCCAGAAATAACTGTCCTTTGCTCTTGCCACACCGCTGATGAGAGCGGTTATAAAAGCCTGCTCAAACCTTGGAAATAAAAAAAGAAAAGGAAATCAGTATCCTAAGTTTCTGAATGATAAAAACATCACTAAAGTGTAATGAAGTGCACAGAATCGAACCAGAGCAAACACTTCTTGTTAATTCTCTAGAACACAGAACAAGAAAACTCACCAAAACCCTAGTATGGCTGATAGATGCCAAATGTCAGCGCAACTCCAGAAATACATGAGTGGAGAGAACGTGACTCCCAAACACTTAATTCCTGTAATTGTCCCAAGGACCAGAGCCCAGGTCTGGCTCTGCAGTGGAGTGGCAGCCTCCACACACACAGCAAGGCGCCTCTTGGAGAAAGACATTTGTTTTATATTTAGGCTGCACACCACACACACACCATGGTGAGCATGCGTTAGAGGAGACGGAAGGGAGGGAGAACATCATGCTTTTCTGAATGTGCATTTTCTACCGCGGGGTGCACATGTGCCCTCTCCCCACACTTGCTTAGTAAGAAAGGAAGTGGAGGAACAATTCTGTGCCTCTCAAATCAGTCTGTTCACAGGCATATGGAGTCTTTGGCTTATTCAAATGTGTTCAAGTGCGTATTCTCACTGGAAATAAATTTCAACAAATCCAAGGCATTCCACCCACTAGCATTTTCCCCAAGCAGTTGAATGAATTTGCTCCCAATGATTGTTGGCAATGCTCCTTTTCAAATACAAATACATCCAAGGCTGATGTAGACAACTTGTGTACACACACACACACACACACACACACACACACACACACCTCTGTAACAAAGGGTAAGTATCAAACTCAACTAGCATTGAATTCAAAGCTTAGTTTGAAATTACTCTTAAAGCACACAAAGTGAAAAGGACTTTCAAATGGTGGTGACTTCTGGACATATCTGCTGAGTCAAAGGAAAACACAAGGCCTGGTAAAATTACCCAAGAAACCTCAGGAGAAAGCGCATTGGACTTTTAACATCCAATTTTAGACTCGTTTTATTGCATGCATTATTCACTTGCTACAGGGAACAGAAGCGATGAAGGTGTTTATAAAATCGAGGAGCCTCAGATGGAATGGGGTGGGAACAAGAGATGAGACGTTCAGTGCCTAAGGGCCAGTGGACTTCAGTGAAGCACCTGAGGCGCTCACAGTGGTGGAGCATGTGGGTTTCATCAGACTTTAGTAAATATTTTTTGCAAATGCTCTATCAACAGTCTAAATATTATACTTCTAAAATCAGAAAAGTTACTTTTACTTATACCTCAGAGGCAGAACTTTACATATGTGTGTTCCCAAGGAAGCTATGTAAAGATAATATTGTCTAGATGCTGTGGTGATTTTTTTAATTCTTTATTGGCTTGTGCTGCGGCAGTGGAAGATCTGCTTTATTGATCCCCTCTGCTACCTAGAATGGTTGTGCTACAAACCAGAGACTACTATGTTGTTGCTACGTCCAAAGCTACGGCTGGTCTTTCTTTACTTTAACAAATAATAGCAAGAAATGGCTTTGTTTGTAAACTTGGCCTTGGGTATAATTATTCATGACAATAATGCCTTTGTAACCTGTTGTTACACATTTATTTAGTCCACTCTGATTTGCTATTTTTTTTATCTCCATTACTGTTTGAGACAATGGGAACCTACTTTTTGATTTGCCAAGTCTATTTTTATGGAGTGCATATAATATTTAAACATTAAAAATTTCAAATCAAAAACCAACACTCAGGTTTCCTCGGTCTAATTTACAAGATGGTACCATTAGTAAAATAATTCAGCAAGTGTGTCTTTACTTTAAACCAAACATGCCCTTCTAAAACTGTCTGGGAAGTGCTCTGGAGAACAGTTCATTATCTGGGGTAAGCTCTTGAGTATCTATTTCTAGTTGGCAAAGAGACAATTTTATATTCTTTACCATTTTCTGTCTTATGGTGGTATTTTATTTGTACTGAAATGTGATTTTAATTGTATGTTAATAAATAAAGTTGCTCGGGGGTCAGAGCTATTAGAGCCATAGCAAGAGCGTGGTGGTGGTGGTGGCGCATGCCTTTAATCCCAGCATTTGGTAGACAGAGCTAGGTGGATCTCTGTGTGTACAAGGACACAGCCAGCATTGGAGACACATGCCTTTAAGACCTGGAGGGCTGTACTTAACAGGCAGTGACGAGGCAGTCACGTGTTTGGGTTGCAACCAATGAGAAGGCAGAACAGAAAGACTTTATCAAGACAAACACACAGGAAGTAGTGCTGTGGGATGGTCTGTATGTCAAATTGCTCTGATTGGTCAATAAATAAAACACTGATTGGCCAGTGGCCAGGCAGGAAGTAGGTGGGACA